CTTTCCGATTATCGCCCTACTTCCCAACCCGACACCTTTCAGAAGTTAGATACAACAACTTCTGGTGTTAATCAGCAGTCAAATATTTATTCAAGAGCTTATATAGGAGTTTATTGAGAGCAACAAATGACAGAGAGAGAGGGAGCTTTCTCTTCACTGCTTCGCATTCTGAAAAGTCGGAAACTGATTCAGTTAAACGTTGAATTTCTACCTGGCATTTCTACCCAGAAATTCAACGTTAAACTGAATCAGTTTCAGACTTTTCAGAACGCGAAGCAGTGAAGAGAAAGCTCCTTCTCTCTCTGTCATTTGTTGCTCTCAATAAACTCCTATATAAACTCTTGAATAAATATTTGAGTGCTGATTAACACTAGAAGTTGTTGTATTTAACTTCTGAAAGGTGTCGGGTTGGGAAGTAGGGCGATAATCGGAAAGCGGAACATGTCTCTCGAAAGAGAGACGGAACGCAAAAGAAAGCCAATCGTCGTAGGGTTTGGAAGAATTGGGATTATTGAGGACGTCTACACCTCATCCAATAACATAAAAGTAGCGGGGAGTTGCAATTTCGATATTTTCAACATTTTCATGTTAAAGAATCCATACATCGCAGTGAAAGGAAGGCAGATGTGCGGATATTTCAGATGTTTTTTCATACGAAGATCACCCGAGTTTTTTTGTTGAGTCCCCTCTATTTTCCCACAGGGGCATTTGAACGTTGCTATTGCCTGATGGAATGATTGAGACTGGGAAGCTACACTTACGTCTCCGAAGCGACATGGCAAACGTGCAGCAGTCGTGTTTCAGCGGAAGCAAACAGAAAAGGCGAAACCGCGAGCTTGTTTTGTAAAAGTGCTATCACAATTAAACTGAAATATCGTGAATGGATATTGTTAGAGCAATGGTTTCCTCCTTCTGCAAGACAATGAGCAACGAAGTAACCAAGTTAAACGCTAGATGAAACCACTTTAATTGTGCCGATTCACAAAACCGCAAAGAACAACCAACTGAGAGTTTCAGTCAATGCTGGTGTGACTGAACCTACTCGAACTGGTAACATTGTTCTGGGCCTGATAATCACATAACACAAAGGAATCTTGAAGTAGAAGCTGTTCCTCAATTCGACGATTTCAAAACGGAGGCTTTCACTCGAATCATATCGAAAGCAATTCAGCAAGACTAAATTCGACTCTTGAGAGTAGTCCACTGCATTGCCCTCTCTCGAAGGACACGAGGCATAGGGTTCATCCCTGACGCGTTCATTCCGTTCAAGGCTTTTGTGAGACCATCGCGCTGGCGACCTTCCTGGGGCTTGTTTGACGTCCCGAGGGATCCAGTCAGTAACCGTCCTGGTCCAACGGTCACCACTAGATCGCATAACCAGTCCGGCCCACCTGATCTTCGATTTCTTGGCGTAAGTAGCGGCATCCTTCATCTTCGTCCGTTGACGTAGCTCGGAACTTCGCATTCTCTCCACTCGCGTGTACAAGGTAACTATGCGCATTGGAATCTCCTGGCGTGTTCAAATGGCACTATCTGCAAGCTCCTCCTGCTTTCCTAGTGTCCAATCCTTCGAGGCGTACGCCAAGACAGGAGGAACCGCAGTTTCGGGAAGGTGAAAGCAGAGCCAGTTGTCTTCGTCTTCTACCACTACTTCCTCGATGTTCCTGAATGCTTCCAATGGCGCGCAATTCCTTCTGCTCAGCTCCGGAGCTAGACGTTCAATATGTTGACTTCCCGACCTAGATACACATAGAGCATTCAGAAATCTTCGTTCCGTTCAGTGTGGAAGGAGTATCAGGTACCAATCCGTTTCGCATGAACATCGTCTTCGTCAGCTTCGATCGTAATCCGATCTTTCAACAAGCGTTGTCGACTACTCCAGCATTCGTCCCGCTTGCTCGATGTTCGGTGTTTAAGTACGATGTCGTCTGGAAGCGGAGCTGATATAAGTCCGCCTCTGCTTCTAAATCCATCGGAGTCCGGCCCTTGTGATCTGTGGATCCAGCGCGAAAACTCACACATGTCTCGCTTGTAACCAATGCCCGTTACTGAAATAGCGGGTGGTTTGGTGGCGGAGAAGATCTATTCGTAAACATATTCCGATTTTGAACTTCTGCTCCTGTGAAAAATGGAGGTACTTATACACACCACGGGGCCAGCTCGATGTTCTCGTGAGCAAGTTTGATAATGGTTAAGTATGTGCGCTCCTCCATACGACTTTTGACTTCATCTACCCGCTCTTCGAGGACACAGAGTGAACATTGTGGGCACCACATCGACCTCTTCCTGTGCCCGTTCTTCCCTAATTAAACAATGGCACCCATTGTTTCCCCAAAAAGTCTACGCAATGCGTAAAGCTGACCTAATTGATGATTCGGACAGCAGATTTTATTTCTTATACTTCCGTCTAGAAAGCTCGCGTCGATTTTGACCGCTCGCGTTTTCTTTTTAATTTCTGAGTATATTCTTTTGCAGCCATGAAGACGAAATTGTGGAAATAGTGCATTGACGTCACCAACTGAACTGGCTTACCATCAAAACGATGTCGATGAGACCAGAATCTTTACTTTTTCCCCCTTCCCTTCATGTCCTAAAGGCACTGAGACTTCTTTTTCTCTCTAGCGTTAAAGGCACAGCTCACGATAAAATGGTTTCTGAGTTCTCCCTCTAGGAATACCCAGTGTCCCTCAAGAATAATCGGAAGGACGCTGTCGTGCCTCAAAACTCACAAGCAAGGGCATAGTGGGAGCCCCGTTACCGAATCGACCGGAATTCCTGCCCGCATTTCCCATTTTCGGAAATTTTCATTGACAGTTGAACCATGCAGCTGCGGTACTGCTATACGAAATCCACTTTTCGGTAAAGCGGGTTGATTTTGATAAGAATCGCTGCAATATTTGCAGAACACAACCATGGCAGAATGGCATGTCGAAATCAGACATTATTCAGCCTTTCACATTCCACAGTTTTTATAACCGCATTTGAACTGTCATGAAATTCAGAGTGAACCAAGTTAATTACATATTGGTATAGAATGCAAACTTATTTATTGGCCAATGATGAAGCCGACTGCAAGTTTGAGAATATTAGAAAGGGAGCAAAGCTTCTGAAACCTGATAACACTGATTGCATCAATATATATGTAACATGGCAACGACGAGGAGTGTGACAATAGTGTGTCACTGTGAACAGACGACAATCTCAAGAGAACAAACTGCTGCTGCTGCAGGCGTAGGAGAACACATGTAATGTGGACTTCTTTCTACAACATTAGCACATGCCATCCGTAACAGTACAGACACAATTGGCTAGATCAACACATGAAGCATGAGAACGAGACTCAAAACAATCATAGCTACCGATTAGATAAATTAGTACCTAGTGCAAAGGTGACGACCGTACATGACAAGGCACGCATCTGAGTGAGGACGAGGGGGAAGGAAGGGATAGGGATAAAGTAGCAAAAAAAAGGATAGGGCGTTTATGGCAGTGAGTAATCAAGCGATGGCCCAATTATAGAAAGGAGGTGAAAGGAGAACAACGAAAGAAATAATGGCATCATAAAAAACAACTAGTCTAAGGAAAGAATGAAATAATGAAAGATGGAAAATGAGAAATGAAGGGAGGAAATCAAAATCATGTGTCCCATCACCTCATAGATAGACGACTGCATACACTGAGCGCTTTTTGTTACATTTCTATTCATTTATAAACGCCGGAGAAGAAATCACTTCTTTTGCCCTTCTTGTTCCAGCTTCACCTGGTTAAAGCACTTTCTTGGTAACGCGTCGCGAATTTCTTCCAAATTCCGTACCTGTAAAGAAATAGTAATCATCCTATTCCAAGATCTTATTTGGGTGTATTAATCAAATTTTGTTGTGAAGCTTTGACGTCATATGAGCCTTGTCGTACCAACCTTGATGACGATCTCGTCCCCCTTTTTTTTTTACAATGTCTCCCCTAGTGATTTCCGGAGGAGTAAATACTGGCCATAACCCTTTAGCGCAGCCAGTAGTAATCCATGTAAAGTGCGTATGTATTACATAAAGAGATGAAAATTCACTGACATCCTTAGACGATTCATTTTCCAACAGTCATCGAATACGTTAGAGACACAGCTACGTTAAAAGTGGTTTCTGAGATTTCTCCCTCGGATGAACCTGTGACGCCCGAGGATTGTCACCCAAGGAACGCTGTCTGGTCGAAAAACGGCCTATATAGAACGCAATAAGGGCCCCAGAACAGGCTTAGCCGACGCACACAACCAAATACGGACGAGGTCTCACGACGTTATAAATGCTGCAGAGGTTGCACAAATAGCACCGAGACTCACACAGTGCACGCAGGCAGCGTATTGCTGCCAGCTGTATGCAATGACGCGCACTTTTGAACAGCTTGTCCGCATACTGGTTCCATGCAACTTCTATCGTCGGATTATCGCCTAGCCCCTAATTTTACTACCCTAAAATTCCATGGATAAGAGCGGGTGAACCTACCGGTGAAAAATGAATTGGAAAAAATCGAAATTGGATGCAGTCACCCCTCTAACTTGATGGATGGATAAATTAAACTTCGAAGAAGAAGTTAAGA